CACCATGTGTATGCTTGGTGTTGATTGGATGACTGCTGATTACTTGTACGGCCAGTACCGGCTAAGGGCAGGCTTCTGTCATTGAACGTAACTTACGTTGCTACTGTTTTGTGCTAATTACAAGGATTTACTTACGTGCATATTACGAGTTTTATTGGAAACAACACACAGGACGGTAGATCTAAATTCCGCTTTAAATAAACAGTTTATAGTTATAAACATTGGGAACAACTCACGGGATCAACCTACTTTTCATCGAGCCGGTTTATTTTATCACAAAACTGTCAACCGATTTCTATACTATTTATCAGCACCTAATACTGTTTACCCTGCTACGTCGCAGTTCCTGGAATTTACCCACTTTTCGAATTCCCGAGGGGTGTGATATAGAAGGAGATTGACTGTATGCATCCAGATGCGGCGTTTCGTGAGAGTCCAACGGTTAAGCCCGAAGACAACCACCAAACTAATCCATGCACGTTGTGAAAACTGAACTGGAAATGGTTTACCCAAGAGTCAGGGTAATAAACCGAGCCTGCAAACCGTAAGACGGGTCATTATATGTATTTGTAGATTAAATAAACTGAACCTATCGTTTCGACCTTCTTTGTAAGTAAAATAACCGGTAAACTGAGGCTCTATACCTTGTCAGAACTCAAATTTTTATTATTGGAAAAAACTTAAAAGACTTCGATCATCAAATTCCATAGGGCGTTTACACTTTGGTTCGGAACACGATTCGCAAGATCACAGTTAGTCCATGAAAGTAAAATAGTAATGTAATGTTTTTGACTAGCACAGGCTCACCGACGCTTGTATGCCAGTGTGAGAAAACGTACCGTCGTATGCAACGACTTGGAAGAAATGATAGCACCCTAGCTTTTACGTAGCACAACGACTAGGTATTCTTTTCACATCAGTCACGTGAGCCGTCTCATAGATCACATTTGTGTTTCATCGGTATAGAAAAGGGAGAATATTGGTGTTCATCGCAATGTACAACAGGTATGCAACACCGGTTTCTGGTCAGGAACATTGCACTAAGCGCAGCTTTTCCTGATGATGTTTAGTGAATATTCAGGCCAGTAACCGTGCGCATCGTAAAACAGTCAATGCATAGGGAAAATCTGTGGATACGGCAAAGAAAACCCATTTCCTTGGCAAGGGAGGTGGGCTCGGTATATTGAAATGCCTTCATAGTAGAACTGCGCAATGCTCCCTAAAGTGTACAGAATCAAGCAACATTGAGATTGCCTAAACTCGGTTGGTTATGGTTCACCAAGAGCTGGAAAATCGATACTTTCCTCTTATAGGTTACACTTCATTAAAAAGTAAAATAAACTCCACGGATGAGATGGTGTAAGAGTACAACAGGGTTGGAGAGGGCTGCTTTTGAAGCGAATTGACGATTTCCAGATTATGAATTTCGGTAACGTCAAGACAATAAGATGTGCGCTATTTATTTGACAGTATCTGATTTGTGCCCACATGCAAACATTCTAGCTGATAGGTTTTGCAAAAATAATATAAAATCGTTTGTTTTCTACTGAGAGCAAAACATTCTGTTACGATTACACACTGGAAAATGTTTTGTTGTTGATAGAAACCAGAACAGTCAGCAACATGGCCGGCATCTCTCGATAACAGTCAGAGTGTGCGGTGTACGAAATTCTCTTTCACTGCAGCTACTGCAGTTGAATTATTCAAACCACAGCATTGGAACACTTAATATTTGAAAGTTTTGAGTGATCATGCATATTATTATTATTATTTTCTATTTGTGAACTTACTGAAACATTCTGTAAAAATCCTGTGACGCATTTGCTTCATTAAATAATAATAATAATAATAAGTAAATAATAATATAATAAAATTTTGGAATTTCATTCGTCTCCTCCTGACTCTCTCTCTTCGTAACGTGTTGGAGATTTTTGCATTTACCACTTTTTCCATTCTGAACCCATCATCACGCTATTGATTGTTACACGACCGAATTTACCCTAAGGTCAAAATCTTGCCTGCATCTAATTAATCAAACCTAGCATTCCTGACAAACAGAAACAAACTTACAAGGGTTTTTTTGTTTATTCATTTGAAAGCAATGTTTCGTTTGAGTTGCTATTTAAAGACATCAAGAGTATTCCACGAAGCAAAGGTGAACTTTATGATATGCTGGTGTAATACGAAATCAAACAAACTAACATATCTATCGCTGTCGAAAGTAGAATACTTGCTCTGAAAAAATACATCTTGTGTTGACATGCAGGTTCCGTTCATATCGGTAAATTTTTCTTTCACTACGATTCGACTGGCTGACCTGAAACTATCGTGAAAACATAGGCGATGCAAAAGACAGATTGAGGAGCTTTACAATTTATTTATCAGATTTAACCTAGAGAAAGACAAAACATATATTTGGGACTGCAGTAATACAAAATATATTGGTAAAAAATGAATAATTTTTGGACCTGTACAAATGCACTTGTTGCCGACGAGTTGCTTCTAATCTAAAGTCTTACACATGTACTTACCTAAACTCATGGAACTGATTATGATCAAGGTTTTATTCTCAAGTAGTGAACACATTTAGACTTTCTATCTATCAATATTATCGGCTACGGAGTCGGCCTCGAGTTGTGCTTCCCCGAGAATTTGTATTGCTTTTAATGAGAAAAATGTAACTTTCATAATGTGTACTGAGGCGAACTGCGCCGATGCAAATAACTCTCTTTCTGCCCGTTGGTTATTCTATCGCACTGACCAGTATTGAGTTCAAAAAGTTTTAGAGTTAACATTTGGATGCGCGGTTTTTAACCTACATTTCAATGTAATAGCCAATGGTAATTTGACTGAGTATTTTTTTATATCTTGAACAAATTTTAGTTCACACTACCGATCCGTAGATATTGAGTAACTTCAATCTCGCATTTCTATGCGAAAAGTATAGAACGGGTAGTAATTTATTGGTCTATATTAATTTGAAAATGACTATAATCATTAAGTAAACCAGGCACATTTCATTCATGGTTTGATACGCCTCCTTATGTGATAAACGGTAGAAGCAGCGAGGTCTGCAACCTATTGTTCAGTTCATAAAACCGGTCGCCTATACAGTTGAACTTAAAGTGGGATGCCGGAGTGGGGAGGGGACTATAGAGATTAGGAGTAACACTGCCCTCCTGTGTTTGGTTTTCACAGATAACTATTTTGTTTAAGTTTGCTTTAACGAGTACAAAACACCTTGTGTGTAGGCGAATGTGTAACAAATGTTATTTTTTCATGTTGCTAAACACCAGCAGAATCTGATTGTCTCAAAAGTATCTGAATACCCAGTAACACTTGACTGCCTCATTTCTGTAGCTTAATCGCATCGAGATGCTGTTTTGATCACTTCACAGTGTCTGATTGTTCCGCTCTTGAAATGACTTGATAGAAGGGAATAAATTTCAGGGTTCGTTTATGGTTGCACTGTTTTTGTCTTGATATTGGTGTTGTGTAAACAACTGATTGGTCTAAACGGATAATTCAAACCTCTCCTGAATATGCAATATCCCTCTATACAGTTTTCTCACGTCAATGTAATTTGAATGGAAATATCTTGTTATTAATGTTCAATAATGATCACTTCCCGCTTTGCAAGAGAATATATCCGACAGAGTTATCACAGTAGCAGTAGTACGAAAAACGTAGTTAGGGTGCCCCTCAAATGCTCACAAAAATGAGATGTGCGTTATTTGTACTACCTGGTGATCAAGTGAATAGTATACCCACGTTGTAAGTTGCAGGTTCTGGGTTCTATGCCAGCGAAGCTCATTGATGTGAAAATAGCCTTTTACTGCCTAACAATTTCTCCATTCTCACTTCTTTTACGCTAAACACATCAAAGGTATTCATGCAAAACGTGGTATTTTGTGAAATTGGAAATCTTATGAGCAAAGCATTGATACGAGGCACGTGCCATTTTAAAGTTCTCGAAATTTCGGAGGGTTCTTATCTCATATGCGTTTGGCAGACCTTAACCCTATGGGAAAAACACTAACCTCAATGATTTTTTAATCGCAGGTCCCCGCGGTCGCCTACGGGAGGAAGTGGACGATCAAAGAATACGGTAGTTGGGGTATGTGTTGCGCATGTTGCAAAAGGGTTGCCAAAAGGGTTGCCGAGACAGGTATTAGGTGGAAAACAGCCAAGGGTGGTCAAACTCCGACCTTCTTTGAGTGTATGAAGGGCCTAACCAGGAGACTCGGTCACATTGTTCGCCCTTCCGGCTTCCCAGATGGAGGGGTCTTTGTAATCAGTTGTTACAGGCGACGGGTGATAGAGCCAAGTGCCATACAAAGTGGCTCTCGTGCATCTTCGCAATTTTATTCATTTTGTTTTCTTTAGTCTAGCTTTCTATCTTTATCCCACTGCTCTATCCAAAGGGCCAGTCAAACAACAGTAACAGAACCGCCGCAAGATAGAGCATGGCTCACGGTTGAATAAACTGAGACTGATTCCCAATTGGTACAGGTTATCTGCTACCTGGGCCTTTATTTTTCAACATTAAATCATCAAGTGCTCTTCACTTCCCAAAATGGCTTTACTTCTAACGATCCGAATGACTTTTCAAATAGCGAACTCGGACAATCGGTCGTTTTTCAAAGTGGGTTAGCGTTTCAACTGATAAATCTAGACAAAGCAATCAAGAAGGACACACCATGCGAGTAATCGCATAGTATGGCCTTTTCCGTCGATCATTCCCTGGTCACATGTCACATCACAGGCACCTGCTCGTGTCTACGTACTCAGAAAAACGTAGGGTTCAGTCGAGTTTTGTCGAGTGCAATGAGATACACTAAAAACATTACTGTAAACAACTGAAGTCATCCCATACTACTTTTGAGATAAGTTAAACCACCGAAGGTACATTTTCATGGAGTGCGCTGTTGGAGGCCACATAAAATTTGTTATTTGTTCCAGTTGGTTAACCTGTTATAACTCAGTTTAAACTCGCTTACCTGTAGGGTATAACATGGAATATTATGCCTCTTTTGAAGCATTTGAGCATGAAAATATTGTGTTTTTGGTGCATCTAGATCCGTGAATGTACTGTACATTTCGACAGTCAGGTGTATTCCACTACGGCCCTTGTCGGCCGCAACAAACTGTATCAATTCTTGTGGCTCACCAACACCAAACTGTTCGGGGGAAATGGTTGAATAGAGTAGTGCTTGAATAGCAATTTCCAATTGTTCTGCATCATCAATTGCTGCAAACAAATCTTCTGATATATTTTTGGCCACACGTGTTGCCCGGAGACGTAGCTCATTCCATTTCTCTGTCCTATTGCGTAGGTGTACCGGATAGGGTGCCATTGGATTGCACAAAGTAATGTCCGGCCAGATGAACGACTCATGATCGTGTTTGTAGCTAGTCAATACTGGACGTGTCATATAACGACTCACAATGAATGATAAATTTGTAAAAAAGCCGGCTACACCAGCAAGCCAAAGTATGAGCCAAATACTTCGACCGATACGTGAGCTTGCAGTGGACACATGACTGAGTCCATGTACTGTGCTGTGTTCCAGTAAACGGCGAACGCCTAGATAAAATTTCTGACGTCTCACCGGTATCAGTCGTTCTTTCTGTACACTGTTTGAACCGTTATTGGATCCAGTCTTTTTCATGTTGTACTATACCCCTATTCACAACGATCGTCTTTTTGCAAGCGGACTTCGTTGTGGGGCTTTTAATCGCACGCAGTCTACGTCTTTCTCATGTTCCAAAGCTTCTGAATTGTGAAAGCGAGAACAGCAATGCTGTGTGGTTAATATCGAACTAATTCCGATTGGTTGAGAAACGTGAAATCTGATTGGCCAAGTATGATCACGTCAGGGAATGCACTTTGGTATTTGAATACCTATTTTTTTTTAGCGGGAAAACACTTTCATTGCTTTCCGTAATCAAGAACATAACCTATGCGTTGGTATTTGGGATTTATCATATGACGGAAAGCCTATCGGTACATGGAAGTTTGGATTTGGTTGCAAGAAAAACTAAATTTTGTGTGAATAAAATGCTGCTACCCTAAATCTAACTCTGGTGAGGAAATCAAGAGTGAAACAGAATAAAATTGTGCCACACAATGGGGTAACGACTCTGCTAGTTGGAAATTTCCTAATACGGTTGTTTTGCATTTAAAAGTGTTCCGTTGATGTTTGCTGACGTAATACATTCATGATGTTGTCATAGTATTCACCATTTTAGGTAAGATGAGATGTATTTCGTAGTGGAACTGTCATTCCTGATGCAAGTTGTAGGACTCCGGTAGTTCGTTCGATTTAGTCAGAATGCGAAATCGAAATGCAATGGAAATGTTTTTGCTGACAAAGAGCAATGGACATCTGTTTCGTCCTGGTTGGGACCCGTCAGCAGTGTGTATTTTTTGTCCTTGTCAGAACTGGAACCGCAAACCTTCGGGTTGAAACCTAAAAGTCTTACCATTGAGCTACGCGGTCGACTGTCATCACTTTTAGCAAATAGCTCAATCAATCTAAAGTATCAAATGTGATTGTCCAGATACACAATGCACTCTTGAAGGTCCTCGTTTTGGGGTTCGCTTCTTCAAACCCAAGATTATTGTCAGTGCCTGGTGCCCATGATAAACCGAATGAGCTAATCCAAACATCAGTCATGTAGAATGCGAAATTATTCCTTTTTCTGGTAATGGAATATCGAGCGATTTTCACTGGCCAGTTACAAACCGAAGATGATAAAGTAAGGGGAACGTTGATGAAGTTCGTAAAATGTTCTGTGCATCAAAAGGAAGTAAAAGTGACAAAAAGAAACAAAATTTAACGAAATTTTGGCTATAGAATATATTTCATTGTATCATGTGCAGAAAGCCTTACACTCTGTAAAGCAGCGGATTTCACATGATATTTTCGGTAGTAAAGTTTATGCGAACACTGATGAAGACCACGATAAAAAATCCATGTTCCCATACGGATTTATCCGCTGTGCTCACCACTCTACTTCCTTCTCACGACCTGAACAGCGAACCCTCGGATTTGTCATTGAAACCACTACACAAATGACAGATTGATTATATACCCATGTAAATTAAACATTTTCCTTGGGTTTTGTTGTATTTTCAGAAACTATTTAGTGTGTGCTGCTCCTCTGTGAGCGGTGTTTGACTTTCCCAGTGGCAAGCTGCCTCAGTCACAATGTCCCCAAAGAGGCCTTACTGTCCTCACTGACACATTCAAACAATTGATTGATTTCTTGTTCGCATAAAATATTCCTCTTGTATCCGCCATGTCACCCATTTATACGGTTATGTTGTTTATCGATTGTCCAGCGGTAAACCGTTCGTATATGCACACCCAGAGCAGCGGCAGTGGTTTACCAATCGCAATCATTTTCATGAGCCACCAAAACAAGGCGCTTTGTCTCTTCCTCGTAAGGCTTTCTCGATGTACAGCTAGCCATTATAATGCAACCGAAGCTGTAGAAAATGTCAACTATCGCCCGGATCAAAGAACCGAGCGTTTTATCGAATTCGGCCAAGGTCAGACACAAGAACCTTCCGTCTCCATCAGTCATCTGACTCACAGGTAAATGTACTCACCATTCAGCATACACACAGGAATATCCCCAACCCCGAAACATAGTGTCTTGCCTCTTTTCCGTGGTATATGATATCAGTCACAGACATTTTGTACAAGACAGCAAGGATGCTGCCCCAGTTATCACGTGACCGAGCCTAATTCACGGTCTCTTTTAGTGCTGTGCAAACGTTTTGCGTTGTCCGCTACCTCCCCTTTTTGTACCGAAAACACTTCAGCCATGAGAACATAAACGTTCGTATAGAGCACTGTTCAGTAAATTGCTCGTTTGCTTGGTCAAGTGAGAAATGTGGTCATCGTGTGAGAGACCCCACCAAAGCGCTTTTGTTTCGTATTCAACCAAGCTTTCGTCGGTGTGGACATGGTAGCTCTGACTGTGTGCAAGCAGACAAGATCATCGTCGGTGCATATTTTTGTTGAGCGTGGGACGATATTTTCGGGGGTCATAGATCATCGTGCAGGTAGGACGCACATGGATCTGGGTAAACAGGGGCCCTTCGAACGTTTTCATTTTGTACTGTGCAAGGTACTATCCACATAGCAATATGACATCTGAAATTAATATTCGAACATCTTAAACTGAAAAAGGTATAGTTCCCTTTTCAATCGATCACAAGAGGATTACATTTCAGGCTGTTGACAGCAATATTAGTCCAAATACTTCCATAGCCAATGTAATTTGTTTTTTCTTTCACTCTAAGGTTGATTTGACCACTACTTATTACCACTGATTAAGCATGGAAGCAATTTAATCCATCGATGGCATAAACCTTCCAGCACTGAATGCTTAAGCGATTACGAGTGGGAAAGTGTTTTTGTGTTTCGTTCCGTAAACGTCATTAGCGACAGCCCGTTTTCCTTTCCCGAATATTGTTGTTGAAGAAATGCGTGACGTCAGGTCAACCGGTGCGATCTACGGGTCGGGCATAACTCGGGTAATTACCGTAATAATTTCCTAAATCAATCGTTTCAATTCACATATTTGTGCTTAAATATTACCATACCCAGAATTTGGGTAGTTTATCAAAGGTAAGCATTAAATAACAATCCTGAACTGATCGTTGGGAGTGAAAAAAGGCTAAATGGAAACTCGTGTCTATCTTGATCATTCAGAAAAGCTTAAAAATACTTTTCTTCTGAAGGGATTTTCGCGAAACGTATCTTAAATCTATTGCCGGCGGTTATTTACCGAGGCTCATGTGGTCACGGGATCAACGAAGAGCGCGGGTGTTTGAAAATATCATCAAACCTCCTCACACGTGAGCCAGCTGCGTCTTTAGAGGGAATTCAGTGCACCTGTATTGCTTTAACTAGAAACAGAAAGCAATATTTCCGTCACATTTATTTTCATATATCAAGTGTTCATTCTATCAATCGTTTGAATACAAAGAATTCCACTTCTTGATAAGGAAAAATAGTAAATAGTAAAGCATGAGTGGTTATGGGACCGAATGATAACGTTCTCGTCCTTTAATTCCTTACAATAGAAGAATGTAATTTCACCCATGACTATAGAAATGATTGAAATACTTTCACTAGTAGTGATGGTACCATAAAAACCACCATAACAAAGATACGCACCTTCGATATGACACAAACGAACGGTGGAGCCATGAAGGATGATGCGATAATCGGAATAGTACAGAACGTAGGAATAAGAGAACCCTTACGGTTATGCTCATAACTGGATTGGCTCCAACCAGAACTGCGGGAAGTAATGGAATGCACAAGGAATTGATAGTAGCAAATGCTTATGTTTATTGATAGAATTATAGCATGTTTCATAGAAGGTAATAGGCCATATGATTGGTTGAAGGACACAGTTGAGATTTTTAACAGATAATGCGAAGTACGACAGTGAATATGTCATTCGAATCGGGTGATGTCGATAGATATTCACATTATTGCCTATGGAGACATTTGATGAGACTGCTGAAACGAGGTGAGAAAAACCAAATCGACCCTTCGTTTTAAGGTTTTTTAGTTTTTAAAGAAACCAGGCGCGCTTTTCAAATCTACCAGGCGTTTCATAACCACTGATATAATTTTAACCAAAGAGCAATCGAGTGTTGTGAGTTCGACAAAATTGATGTAATGAAACCAATTCAAAAACGTCAAAATCGATACTAAAGTTGGCTCCCTTACTGGAGTCTGTAGATATAGCAAAACAGAACGTGATCAACACCATCACTATGAAATGCTTTTTATATTCGTAAAACCACAGGCTAACCACTCAGGTAGCAATATTTTATGAATCCAATAATGTCCGGGGTTAATACTCTGGTATTCATTAGTTGCTACGGGTGCATTCAGTTGCACAGGTTATCAAACGACTGAAAATGCTCTTTCCTACGTAAGTTTGATCTCTTATTTAAGTAATTATATATTACAAGTAGGACTGTTCTTTGTACCAAAAAATGTTGATTCCAGCCCCATTTCCCCTTCATATTTGGCGGTTGGTATATATATATACTTTCGTTTCTGAAGCACAAAGTTCTTAGGATTCCGTCTCACATCAGTGTTAAGGAAAACATACTAGTTAACGTGATAGCTAGAGAACAAGCTCTACCATTCAGTGAATACATCATGCAACTCGGCGATGACCATCAGTGGGTTCATAGATGAAACACAAAGCTGTAGAAATCGAAGTCAATCGGTGAACTGCATCAGGTGTGTGCAAAACCAAGCGAAGTTGGTGAATGAATGTGCAGCATTAGGCATGCCATTGGTCCCACGCTTTCCCTTATCGGGTCATGTGAACTGACTGAAGTTCCTAAACGACGACATTTGAATAAGTATGATTGACTACTACCCATAAGCTACTATCGGTTATTATCGGAAATCGGCATGTAGGTCAGCCCCAAAGTTAATTGGCTTTTCCAGCAGTACCAAACATCCTTTCGAGACAGGATTCTAGAGTTAACATCGAGTATATGCCATGGGATACGCACTGCTGATGCGTTCTAATATTCGAGACAATTGATCTCGGTGGTTGTTGGGTGAACGACTGAATGGATGAACTAAAGCTTACACTTCAGAGGGAATTCTGACGTATG